CTTAGATATCATTGACCAGTCCGTGTGGAGTCCTGTTCTATAATAAATTGATTAAGATCAATTTAATTATTAATATTCATTCGTACTAAAACCAATATTTGTATTTTTTAAAATATAATTTATTATAAAATTTCAATTCTAGAGATCTATATCACTCCTAGTATAAAACCTACTTTATTATCAGACTAATATTGGATTTATCTATTCGTTATTTTATAAGAAAAATCTAAAAAAACAATAAAAGAAACAGAATTAGTGTTTTAAGGAGCCAGAGATGGATTGAATAATAATTCGTTTTGGAATAAATGTCATGGTAAGAGTAATCTAATTATGATATTTTAATCTCAAAGCGGGTATATATTTGGCGGATATACTCCATGCAAATGGCAATAGAATATATGTAATTATGTTTAAGATAACACATTATCATCATTTATATTTTCCTAAACACATAATTAAATCTATCCTTTGAAATAAGACAGAAAATAATATGCAATTTATTGTGATTCTGGACGAGGACCTTATTTTGGAGGAAATGGGGATATCTATATAACATCAGATTTTTAAGGAGGACACTCTCGTTTTGGCGATTCATATTAGTAGGAAAAATGTGAGAATAGTTCTACTCATCTATTTGGATAAGAAACTCCAAAAATCACAGAATGTGAAATTTATGAATTAAAATTTAATTGAGATTATAAAGCATAAATATTATTTAAAATTTATTATCATAAGGTCCGAAATTAACATAATACATTTAACTTGAAAAATTAGGAAAATTCATACTGAGTAATAAAGAATGGCAAATATAAAATTAAACTCTTATTGTAATTTCGTTAAGTTGACACTATAAAAGCCTTGTGAAATATATTTCTTTACATATAAGTTAAAGTATTATGAAAATTACAAAGTATTTTTCAATCGACTTTTCATCAAACATCATTAATAATAAAAATCTTTATCAATATAAATTTAATATTGAGAGATAAAAGTATGAGGTTCTATTGGAATAATTAATAATAATTAACTACTGAGAAAATTTCGAAGCAGTAAAATGAAGAAAATTACAACTCAGCCAGATGTATATCGTTTATAAATTATTGAAATGTTTCCATAAATCAAAAATTGAGAAATTTTTCAAATGCTATTTAAAAAACAATTAGATGAATTTAAACAAAAAGATGATCAGAACAATAGAGTTGTTAAGAATACTCGACAGAGCAATTAATTAAATAATCAAATAATGTAGAGGACGAAAATAATTTCCAAAAAACAGTTAGAACAAATTTATGAATCATAATTAATATTCTATAATTATGATACATATAAACATGATAAGAAGAAAATTTATAATGTTGTTCAAAATTTTGTTAAAAACATATAAACCACTTTAAGTAATTGGAAAGAACAACTACTGATAATAAAGAATATTATTGATTATCTCTTTAAGTTAATGCATGAAACAAGTGAAAAGATAATAAGTCTAGAAATTTAGTTTGAATTAGGTTATCTAGTTTTAGTAACTAAAAAAATATATGTAAAAGAAAACTAGAGGGAATATGAAGTTAAATCAAACCAATAGGGCTAATTCAAATAAATTAAATAGACAATAACCAAAGGAAAATTAAATAGGGTTTAAAGTTACCTATTAATTAGATTTCTTTGACAAGATTCACAAAAATAATTACTTGATTTTGTTAAAATGTGAAAATGTAATTTTTGATTTTTGAAAAATATTAAAAATTTATTAAAAATTATAACCTAATATAATTTATATGTGTAAATTTTTAGAAAATTGGCAGACTCAACATGATAGAATTATAGGAGAAATGTAAGAATGCTGAAGAAAATTAATGAATTACTTTATTTAAGAAGAAATTTATAGGATATTTTATTCCCATTTTATGGATTCCTTCACATTCGGTTAAGTATAAAAAGTCTCCAAACAAAATAGCACCACTATGCCTTGTTTTTTTTATTAGTCTTGATAGGTATTATTCGTTTATTAGATATTTAAATTATTATTCATTTCTTCTAGATTTGATCTTTATTATTCTTTTTATTTGATTTGGATATACTAACTTTTTGATTTTTTCATACTAGCAGACATACCAGATTAAAGCTCTTTGAGAACATAGTAATAAATTCTCTAATGATTATTTATTTGATAACATAATCTTTGATAAATTTTTGATTGATCATCACTATATCTATTTATTTAGCTTATCGCTATATTGATTTTTCATATTAACTCATCATTTCTGAGCAGCTATTTTTATGAAAACATTCTCTTTGAAACTTTTAAGATTCATTTTATTATCTTAGAAGGTTCTTTGTGTATTCTTCTATGGGTATAAAAATCAATATTTAAATCCAAATTTTCCTTATTCGCTATTTTAAAATAAAAAAAATTGTTAAGTTAATTCTTGATTTTATTTCAATCTTTTTTGTATTTTAGAACAGGAATATTCTGTGAATTATTCCTAATATCAGCTCATCCAAAATTTTGGCTTCATTTTTTGTATATACTACTTTATTTTTTATTATATGTTGAATCAATTATATAGTTGTGTATGCAATTATTCAACCTCCTTATACATCTATTTTCTATCATGATTTTTCCAAAGTCTAATATTAATAAAGTCAATAAAATTGGTTTATGAATGACAAGCATAAATTTTAATTTAATAAGACAACGTAGAAATTATTCCACCTTGTACATTTTTATATTTAATAAATATTAGAATTGAAAAGCTATTCTTTCATAAAAATGTAAAATAACAATACTCCTATTGACCTTGCAAACTTACACTCAAATTAACTACAATAATCAAATTTTCCATCAAACTAAGAATAAATATTATCCTATAACCAGTATTCTTAAGATTAGGAGAATTAAATAACTTTTTCAAATTCTGGAAATTTAATAAAGGATGTAGATTTTAAAAATCAAAGGATCTTTTTACTTAAAATAATGGGAATATTTATAATTTGGTCACTTATTTTCTTCCTTTTATTTTATTTATTTAGTTTGAATATAAATTAAACTAACATGCCTATGAGTATAATTTTGACATCTCTATCACTTTCCTTTTTAATTCTTTTGATGAGGATGGGAATTAAAAACTAAAACAGAAATGTATTAGCTTTGATTATTAATAATTTTAGCCATAAAAAAGCTGCTTAATATTTTTTGGATTGCTTATATTTTATACTTTGCTTTATATAAGTCTATTCTGTAGTTTACAGTTCTCAGATAATAATAATTAAGTTAATGGTATGCAGTCATTATTAATTAAGTTGATACAATAATGGCGGACGGGGACC